ACCATTTGTTGGACACCGTCTTGCAACATAGTTTCACAAAACACCCCATTGTGGACAATGTGGATAATTATTAGCTTGGTTTCAACACCTCACTTGTGGATTTCCACACTCCAATGTAGGTCAAACCCACATTCAATTAAATTATAATCTATACAATTTCTAAACAGTGACCTTGAGGAGGCTCATATTGAGGGGTCAATCCAGGACTCAGGCTGCAGAAAGAGGACTCAGGCTGCAGAAAGAGGACCCAGGCGGCAGATAGAGGACTCAGGCTGCAGAAGGAGGACTCAGGCTGCAGAAAGAGTACTCAGACTGCAGAAAGAGGACTCAGGCTGCAGAAAGAGGACTCAGGCTGCAGAAAGAGGACTCAGGCTGCAGAAAGAGGACTCAGGCTGCAGATAGAGGACTCTGGCTGCAGATAGAGGACTCTGGCTGCAGATAGAGGACTCAGGCTGCAGATAGAGGACTCAGGCTGCAGAAAGAGGACTCAGGCTGCAGATAGAGGACTCTGGCTGCAGAAAGAGGACTCAGGCTGCAGATAGAGGACTCAGGCTGCAGATAGAGGACTCTGGCTGCAGAAAGAGGACTCAGGCAGCAGATAGAGGACTCAGGCTGCAGATAGAGGACTCAGGCTGCAGATAGAAGACTCAGGCTGCAGAAAGAGGACTCAGGCTGCAGATAGAGGACTCTGGCTGCAGATAGAGGACTCAGGCTGCAGATAGAGGACTCAGGCTGCAGAAAGAGGACTCAGGCTGCAGATAGAGGACTCTGGCTGCAGAAAGAGGACTCAGGCTGCAGATAGAGGACTCAGGCTGCAGATAGAGGACTCTGGCTGCAGAAAGAGGACTCAGGCAGCAGATAGAGGACTCAGGCTGCAGATAGAGGACTCAGGCTGCAGAAAGAGGACTCAGGCTGCAGATAGAGGACTCTGGCTGCAGATAGAGGACTCAGGCTGCAGATAGAGGACTCAGGCTGCAGAAAGAGGACTCAGGCTGCAGATAGAGGACTCTGGCTGCAGAAAGAGGACTCAGGCTGCAGATAGAGGACTCAGGCTGCAGATAGAGGACTCTGGCTGCAGAAAGAGGACTCAGGCAGCAGATAGA